AAAATCACCCCATCATCTACAAGGCTGTGGGGGTCTCTTGGGGACCCTCACAAGGAAGAGTATCCAGGCAACACCCCCATTTCGGCATCATGCCAAGCCAGCCCCGTGGGACAGCTGAATCCACTTGAAGCCCTCCCTTTAGTTCACCCTGTTATCTTCTGAGCCGCTGTAGACTGCCTGCTTCCCACCTGCAAGATTACCTGCAGGGCCTCCCTGGCCTGACTCCTGCCTTTGAGCCCTCACTTCCTTCCCTGATCCCCAGCCCCTGGTCTCCAGTGAGGGAACTGCCCTGGTCCAGGGCGCTTTTGCAATGTGTGATCCTGTGATCCTGCCAGCGGCAGCCTTCCCAGGTAAACAGGAAATGGAGAGACTGAAGTTCAGGAAGTGACCTGGGAGGCTCACTCTCAGGGCTCCTGATGTCCCGTTAGGGCTGCACGCTTCTTTCTTGTCAACAGCGAGCTGTCCGCCGTCAGGAGACCTGGACTTGACATCGAGCTTGCAGGTCACTAGCTCTGGGACCTCGGGCCGCAACTTCTCCCAAGACCATTTTCGTGTCCAGTGGAAATGGTCATGCCTCCCCTATGGGGCACGCATGGTGTTTCATGAAGTTAATATATGTAATGGTCATCTTTTACCCTCGTTCATTTAGAAAGTGGTTTTTTTTTTTTTTTTAATATATTTTATTGATTTTTTTTACAGAGAGGAAGAGAGAGGGATAGAGAGCTAGAAACATCGATGAGAGAGAATCATCAATCAGCTGCCTCTTGCACATCCCCTACTGGGGATGTGCCCGCAACTAAGGTACATGCCCTTGACCGGAATCGAACCTGGGACCTTTCAGTCCGCAGGCCAATGCTCTAGTCTAGGGGTGTCGAACTCAATCAGAGAAGGGGCCAAAATCTAAAATCCAGCCTAAATCGCGGGCCGAATGGTTTACTGAACAGTCATAAACTGTCATTGTGATGGAAACGCAGCAGAGTGCAGTGATGACAGCGCGGTGCGGGCCACATTGCAAGGGCTGGCGGGACGGATTTGGCCCGCAGGCCTTGTGTTTGACACATGTGCTCTAGTCTATCCATTGAGCCAAACCAGTTTCGGCCATTTAGAAAGTGTTTTACCAAATGGATGTTCATGCGTTATTTCATAGAATCTTCACACCACAGCGTGACTTGGTGAAACAGATCCTCCCCATTTGACAGCTGCATGGACCGAGTCCGGGACGTTGTTTGCAGAGTCTCCCAGCTGGTTTCAAGCAGCGCTAGGCTGGAATTCGGTCTCTGGGCTTCCGGTCCTGTGATTGTGCCTCCTGGAGTCCCAAGGCAGTGAATTTGGGATTTTCAGAGATCATCAAAACAATCATTAACATCTCTTTTGGCTAAAAGTATCTCTTATCAGGTGTGGGAGGCTCTGCAATTTCTGCCCACCTGCCCAGCTCTCTCCCCAACCATCCAGGGAATCCAAACAGCATTGTCCCTGAGTGCTGACTTCTGGGTGTCAGACTGTTGGGTTCTGAAAATTTGTGATTCTTTCAGGGGGAGCATTACTTCTTCCCGGAGCAGCTTTTATTAAAATGCTTTCCCTGCCTCGTCAAACTAAAAAGGTGCTGTCTACTTCCCTAGACACGGAGCCAGGTGTTTGGCCAACTGAATGGGCAAGAAAGATCATTGTCACAGCAAAAGACACCCATGGCTTCCTGGCCCGGAGACTCCTACGCTGATTGTAGCCTTCCTGTTCAGGCTTTGACTGTCCTTACAAAAGGCTCAGGTTTCTATCTGGGCCCACTGAGAGGAGGCTGCGGAGGGCTGATCTAATATTCGGGTGTGGAGTTGCGTTTTGTAAGGAGGTGGAAGTGGTTTCTCGTTTCACCCTGCCTTCATTTATTTCCGATCTAGGAGGAGAAGGCAGGAGGAGAAGGCGGGCATTGTCCTGCAAAACTGCCTGTAGCTCTCACCAGTCCTCCCTGGTTTGTCAAAAGGATCCCTGTTTTGGCCTCGGTTTCTTTCCTGTGTCGCAGAGTGCAGTGTTCTGTGTGCCCTGCAGCAAACCCACTCGCTCACTGTCCCCAAATGTGTCCCCAAATGCCGCAGGTGCTGTGTGGGATCAGGATTCAGTAGACAACAGTCAGATGAAAAGATTGGGGGCATCTAAGCCCTTGTGTGAGTCCCAGACGCCAGGTATGATGCTCGGGATTGGCATGAGTCATGGAACAGAAAGGAACAAAGGTGTGGCGGAGGCTAATGGAATGGAGAAAGCTTGACAGGGTTCACCTGGGAGCGAACGGTCTGTTTCTGCCCTGGGTGGCAGGCTACCCCTCACTGCTTTGTAAAAGGATGTGGACGGCTACGGGAATCTCCTCGCGTGCTCCACTGTGGGAGTTACTGGCAGGGTAGGAGGTGGCTGGGAAACTGCCAGTGGGCAGGCTGCAGGGGTGGCAGACTTTTAGTTAATATGCCTGTTCCTCTCTCCTGATTCCCCAGCATCAGGAAGGTGAGGGGTTGAACAGACCCCCCCCCTCCCCCCAGAGGCCAGGATGGAGTCGGATGCTCTTATTCGCTGTATAACCTGGTACCAACCACCTAACTTCTCCACCTGCCTCAATTTTCTCATCCGTAAAATGGGAATAATGTTCTCGTTGACTGACTGCATGGATTAGGGGAGAGAAGACATAAATGTATGGAGCCAGGCAGCAGGCACACAAGAAATACCCACTTGATGGTAGTAGCTGTGCAATTTCACTGTGAATTCATTATTTTAAAAAGGTGATTAGTCCTACCTGGTTTGGCGCAGTGACTAGAGTGTCAGCCTGCGGACTGAAGGGTCCCGGGTTCGATTCCTATCAAGGATTGCGAGCTCTATCCCCAGTAGGAGGTGAGTGTGGGAGGCAGCCAATCAGTGGTTCTCTCTCATTGTTGATGTTTCTATCTCCCTCTCCTTTCCTCTCTGAAATCAATAAAATTATATACATATATATATTAAGTGTTTAGATATAGGGTTGTATTTAGAATAGCGAATTCGTATCTTAAAGTTTTGATATGTGAGAAGGGGAGAAGAAGCTGAGTGTTTGAAATGGTTGGTTGGGTTCGAAATAGCATCCTTTACATTCATCTCGGTACAAAAGAGACCGCAGTGAGCACAAAGACTGGTCTGGAAGTATCCCATCTGTGGTGGGCAGCGGCCATTGTCATGCTCCTTTTACCCAGTAGGCACCTGTCTCATGCAGTGTGTGGGCTGGGTCACAGCAGGGGTTGTGCTGGGGCTGGGGTCCCAGGGCCAGACCATCCCGCCTGTCCACACACTTCCGAGAAAGCATCTGGCCTCTGGCATCAATTTGCAAACTACCAACATACAATATTTTTTTTCGTGAGCGGAAACTTGGAAACATTTGCCTGGGCACGCAAGGGCGCATGGCAGAGCGAGATGACATATTGCCTCTGTTTGTTTCATGCTTACTGGGTGGCAGGAACCTTCCAGACTTTCTTCCGGCTTGTCCTCAGGGCAGCCTGGGGAGGCAGCTAGAATCCTGGTTTTGTAAAATATTAGCAGGCCTGAGCCTCGGAGTCCTGCATGTGCCCATGGTCAGAAGCTGTGACCACAGAAAGCCATCTTGATCTTAGGGAGGCGGTAGCATTTGGAAGTCGGTGGTAGCCTTTGCCCTGCCCCGCCCTCGCCCACAGGCCCAGCGCAAGCCTGGCTCCAAGTGGCAGGTGGGGACTTGCCCTGAGTCTGTGTGGAGTGAGAGGGGAGAAAACATGTCCTTGGGGCAAAGGGAGCGCCTGGCTGGCATGCGCTGGGCCGGAAGCCAGCAGGAAGCCAGCAGGGACCATCCCCTCCGGCCTTGGTCCTCCCTGCGTGGTGTCTGGGGAGCGAGCGCCTGGCTCCCCCACTCTCGCAATGCCGAATCTCCTCTTTCCACCCAGGTGAAGTGAAGAGGGGCCTCAGGGTTAGATCGGGCCGGCTGGAATATTTGATCTTGTTTTTCTTCAGAAGTGTTTTTGAAATTCAATAAGCTGAATATACAGTTGAGTAAGGTCTGACTATCATAGGTTCAGGATGGAGGGGAGAGCAAGGGGGATTTAAATATATATATGTTTTTGCCCTAGCTCAGTGATCGGCAAACTGCAGCTCGCGAGCCACTTGCGACTCTTAGGCCCCTTGAGTTTTTAGCAAAGGCCAGCTTAGGAGAACCCTAATTAAGTTAATAACAATGTACCTACCTATATAATTTAAGTTTAAAAATAATGTGGCTCTCAAAAGAAATTTCAATTGTTGTACTGTTTGATATCTGGCTCTGTTGACTAATGAGTTTGCCGACCATTGGCCTAGCTGGTTTGGCTCAGTGGATAGAACATCGGCCTGTGGACTGAAGGGTCCCCAGGTTTGGTTCCATTCAAGAGCATATGCCTGGGTTTCGGGCTCAATGATTCTCTCTCATCATTGATGTTTCTATTTCTCTCTCCCTCTCCCTTCCTCTCTGAAATCAATAAAAATATATATTTAAAAATATACATGTTTTTATTGATTTCAGAGAGGAAAGGAGAAGGAGAGAGAATTATTGATCGGCTGCCTTCTACACTGGGGATCAGGCCTGCAACCCAGGCATATGCCCTGACCTGGAATTGACCCATGACCTCCTGGTTCATAGGTTGATGCTCAACCACAGAGCCACACTGGCCAGACCAAATGGGATTTTTGGCAGCGTCTGGTACAACCTCCTGGCATGGGAAGTGAGGAACCACGGCCCCTCTCGGGGTCACTTCACATCCAATGAGAAGCAGGTGCTTCTAGATTCAGGGTGCAGGTTCTCTGCCCCCACGGGCCAGATGCAGTGCCTGCCTGTCAGGTTGTCACTTAGAGGGGTGCCATCTCAGTGTGGAAGGCGTTCGGAGCAGTGGCTCAGGGTCCCTGTGCTGACCTGGGCTGCATAGCACTTGTCACCTCGTTTGGGTGTGTGACGGGAGCTCACAGAGATCATGGCTGTTGCTTTTGTTCTCACCCCGGCCCTGTAGCCCATCAACATGCCCTCCGGCCTGCTGCTGGAAGCCCTCTGCATTTGCATGTTGGCGGGAGGTAAGTTCTGGTTGGGGGGAAGAAAGGGAAGGCGTGAAGGGCTTTGAGTTGTGTCACATCCTGTCCATGTTAACATGGAAAGCTCTGCTGAATGCCTCTGTGTGTCTCCACTTCATGGCCACCTGCCTGGCCTAAGCCCCAACTCCTCAGGCTTGGACACTGTAACGGCCTCCTGACGGGCCCAGGTCTCGTCCAGCCCATTCTGCGCATAGCGGTCATTTAAAAATGCAAAATTTGGCACATCTGGATCCCTCTCCACTTCTACCCCCTGCCTGAAACCTTTCCCATATCTCTTAGCGGCCCAGCCTGATCAGACCCCCTCCCCACCCTTTGTGCTGTCAGTCCATACCCCTTCCGGCCCACACCCTGCTCCCTCCTGCCGTAGGCCTCATCCCCACACTGCCGCCCTGGGAACTCCTGCGCATCCTTCAGCACCCAGCACAGCTCCTGCTGGACCCCAGGTCGGGTCAGATCCTGTTAAAACCCCCTGTAGCCTTGGTTCCTCGGAGATGTAGCACTTAACACAGAGGAGAGTTTGTTTCCGTGTGAATCTTCTGAAGTCCGGGTCCATCTTCTCCGCCAGATTAAGCTCCATGAGAGGGAGACCCTGCACAGTGTTCACTCAGGGCTGTGGGCTGGCTCTGCCCGCAGTGACCGCCTCTGGTGTCTTCTCTCCTAGTGCCCCCTTCCCTCCCTCTTCAGGAAGTTCACATGAGCAGGGAGACCCTGGGGAAGATTGCAGCTGCCAGCAAAAGTAAGCCCATGTTTGTTGATTGTTGTTTTTTTAATCTTAAAAATATATATATTTTATTGATATTTTACAGAGAGGAAGGGAGAGGGATAGAGAGTTAGAAATATCGGTGAGAGAGAAACATCGATCCGCTGCCTCCTGCACAGCTCCTCCTGGATTTTTAAAGATAGTCATCTAGGGGTGGGTGTAAGGATGAAGTGAACAGTCCATATAACGGGTTTAAACAGTGCCCGGTGTGTGGGAAAGACGCGGTCAGTGCTGCTGGTATTGAACTCCTGGGTAACCTGACCTCATGCACTAGGGTGCCTGGCTGTGTCCCAGAACAGATTGTGGTCCCCGAGAGCTGGGACCAGGGCTCTTCAGGATCCCACACTGGCCCAGCGGCCCCCGCGGCCATACGGCTCAAGTCAGTGCTGTCGAATTAGACTCTCCCATTACCCCAGACCTTCACGGGAGGGTCTCGTTCTGAGCATTGTGCCCGTGTGGGCATGTATTTCCCGCTGCAGAGGGGGCTGCCGCTGGCCCGGACCTTTCCCAGCATTCTGCCCTTCACTGACCTAAGAGGAGCAGCAGCTGGCCCACCCCGGGTCCTTTCTCCTCCTCTCTGCTTTGGGAGTGAGACCCTCTTGGGACCCCACTGCAAGGAAGTGTATGGTCACCCACCTGTCCCCTCTCCCCAGCTGCGTGGTGCTCCGCTGCGGTGGACGTCCTGTTCCTGATGGATGGCTCTCACAGCATCGGGAAAGGGAGCTTTGAAAGGGCCAAGCACTTCGCCATCACGGTCTGCGACGCTCTGGACATCAACCCCGAGAGGGTGAGTGAGTGCACGCCTTGCTGCCTCTGTATTTAGGATGTCTTTGGTTGCAAGCGACAGAAGTCCAATCTTGAGCAGAAGAGGGCACTGCTGGCTTGTGGAAGTGGAAAGACCCAGGGGGTGAATCATGGTTCCAGGCGCAGCGGGATCCAAGGGTAGGCCCCCCTTTTTCTTCATTCAGTTTTGCCTGTAACAGCTGGCTTCCTTCCCACCCATAGCAAAGCTGCCTTGCTTTGTCTTTGAAGCTAGTGACACCAGTAAAAAGAACGCGGACTTCCTTCCCTGCATCTGTCAGAAGTCCCAGGGAAGGCTCTGATTGGGCAGGTATAGGTCACATGACAATCCCTCAGCCCAATCACAGTAGTTCAAGGGACTCCTGTGGCCAGACCTGGGGTGGTGGTGAACACGCGGATTTGGTTTCCCACTAGCAAGATGTCGTATTTGCACAACAGTGGGAAAGGGAGAGCATGGCACTACCTCCTAAGACTAGAATCTCAGTGCAAAGCACAGCTCCTCCTACCCTCTCTGTTCGCTTGAAAGGAATTAGTCCTGCCTGAGTGATCAGCCAGTATGTTCACTTTTTGTTCTTCCTGGCTCCGCATAGTAGGCTTTAAGTGCCCGCAGAGTGTTCTAGCTGCGGCTCCGGTGGCCAAAAGGGGCATTTTGGAATAACTCCAATAGAAAAATGGGTGATGAACATGACAGACAATTCCCAGAAAATGGAACGCAAATTGCCCTTGGACATAGGAAATAGCAGTGGAATAGCAGTCAATGGAATAGCAAACCTCCGAGGAGTACACCGGTGTTCACTGACTGTGTTAGCAACAACCCAAAGTTTGGTGGCACGCTGCCCTGGCAGGGCCCCAGGAAGCTGCCATTCTCACCCACTGCTGGCAGGAGCTGTGCAGCCCCGACAGCATCCATCAGCGTTACAAAGGCTTGTTCCCTTTCGCCCAGAACATTATTCTAAATATACTCCCACAGAGGGCTGTCCAAGATGACATTCCTGGGTTAATCCTACAAAAACCCCTAGGATTTAGGAGCAAAAGTGGCCTTTTATGGGGGCCGGATGTCCTCCAGAATGGCATGTCACGTCGAGAGCTTGAGCACATTCCCGGGACCTCAGGCGGCCTTGCAGAGCTATTGGAAGACCCCGCAGCAGAGCAGCCCGGAAGTTCCAACTGTACAGTCAGCCCATCACAGACCCTAAAAGGGCCAGGGCCTAGGCCTGCGCCTGCTCAGTCTCCACCCTCTTCCACAGAGGGCTCTGCTTTTCAAAGGAAAGGATTCCTTATAGAATTCCACTAGTTATTCCTGGAGAAAGAGCCATAAAGATCCAACACTGTTGACCGTGGCATTGATGTTGTATGTCCTGAAGGGGATGGCCGAGAGATCTCAGCTGATGGCACGTTGGGAGAGAAGAGCTGTGTGGGTGACTAGAGGATGTTTACGGTTGAAGAAATAGGCTCAGAGAATCTAAGTGACTGCCCAGGGTCACACAGCAACCTTAGAAGGAAGCTCAGTGTGGAAGAACTGGGCTCTTGATGCTCAGCTCAGGGCTTGTTTCACGGGTCATTTGTTCCTACCCATTGGGTGGGATGAGGTGATGAGGGTCAGCCTTCACACCCTGCTGTCACATCGGAAGTGATAACATGGCATTGTGCGTCTGAGCGTGTGTGTGTGTGTGTGTGTGTGTGTGTGTGCGTGCGCGTGCATGTGCGTGCCTGCCGGAGCGTGTGTATGTATGACTGGGTTGTGTGTGTATGTGGAAGTGGAGGGTGCTGATGGAATTCAAGATTCTCAATGAGAAACAAAAAACGTCATGGCTGGTGCTGTTGCGAGTACCTGTCCCAACCCCCAGGGTCCCAGCGTTCAGGACACTTCATCCCAAGCCACATCTAGAACGTGGCGTTCGCAGGTTAGACATTGGCAAACCAGACAGTGCCCACGACCAGGAGTGGACCAGTGAGAGGCCTGGGAATTTCCAAATAGGGAACCTGGTTCTCATTTTCCTATGAAAGAGGGTTCAGCCGGGACCGGTTTGGCTCAATGGATAGAGCGTCGGCTTGAGGACTGAAAAGTCCCGGGTTCGATTCCGGTCAAGGGCATGTACCTTGGTTGCGGGCATATCCCCAGTAGGGGGTGTGCATTCAGAGTGGCTCCGTGGTCTTGGGAGGGCGGAAGCTGGTGTGCAGGGAGATACGTGTGGGCTTGGCCCCAGAGAAACCTCCTCACAGCCGGACTTGGTGTGCAGAGGAGTCGGGGGTCTGTGTCAGACCGTGTGTGGGCATCCCGACCTCCCTGTGCTCAGTCCATTGCTGGGATGCCAGTGAGGGGCTTTATTTGCATCCGGGTGGTTTAAGATGGTCCCATCTGCTTTGTGGCTTTGGGTTTTATGTTCTTTTTTTCTTTTTTTCGAAACAATGGTGTTAGAAAAATCATCGTTTATTTATTTATTTTATATTTTATTGATTTTTTTACAAAATGGAAGGGAGAGGGATAGAGAGTTAGAAACATTGATGAGAAAGAAACATCTACCAGCTGCCTCCTGCACACTCTCCACTGGGGGTGTGCCCACAACCAAGGTACATGCTCCTGACCAGAATTGAACCTGGGACTCCTCAGTCTGAAGGCCGATGCTCAAACCGGTTAGGGCCGGGTTTTATGTTCTTGTTGCTGCATTTTTATTTTTTATTTTTTATTTTTTGTCTTCTGTTATCTCCATGTATAGGAGATCTAATGTGTCATCTTCTCTCCATTGTGCAAGAGATTTTACTTTCAGTAACTTCACTTTTCAGGAAGACATTTTCAAGTCGCTATCATTAAGGCTTTTAGGGATGTTTGTTGTTGAGGTGGGTTTAAGGTGTTTGAAGTCTTCCTCTCAATACTTAAAAGCTGAGAAGTTAAAAAAAGGCGCAAGCTGTGAAGCTCACTTCCTGGCTGTCATGTGATGATTACAGCGGGGAGGTGAGACGTCTGGGCGGGCTGGCTTCTGAGCGGACAGTAAACTGAACATAAAAGGCAGCTCCTTTTGCTCCCAAACCACCAATTAAATGAAACGCCTCAGCCACTGGCTCACGCTGCTTGTATCTTGTTTTGAAGTTGCGTCCTTCCTGTTTAAATGCTCCCAAGTAAATGCACCCAGCTGGTTGGTCTCCGGGGAGGCTTTCTTTGAAACCACGCAATTCATTCCCATGCTTTAATTAAAAAAAAAAAGACGTCTAGTGAAAAGTGTCCCTCCTCTTCCCATTTGCTCACATGCTTCCCATTTGCTTGGTGCCCCTACCTGCTTTCTTGAGCATCCCTGCAGGATCACTCCATGCAAACACAAGCAATGCATGTATAGGTTCTTATTCCTCCCTCCCCCT